CGGGAGAATTTAAAAATGCGCACACTAAAAGTGCGACTCGTTTTGCTTGAAACCAAGCAGCTTTACTAGCAAAACTCGCATACCTCGTAGAGTGAACAGGTTTCGACCGTTTTTTTTTATTTTCGAAACGATGGAAACTTCTTACAGCTAAGGCACGACGGATTTTAAAATTGTATTTCTGAACGCTATAATCAATTAGAGTTTGAATAATATGACCAATTTTTATCTTTTTTTCACTTTTTTTTTTTCTGTTGTTTTTGTTTGCATAATCGAAAATTGAACACGTTGGAGGATTTTTTTCTTTTACCGACGTAAAAAGAAAAATGTTCTGAATCGGATAACTCTACGGGGCATACGAGGTTTTCCCGTAAAACGTGATTCGGCCAAAATATACAAGTCGCGCCATTTAATAAAGAAATGAAAACTAATTTTATTTTATTTGTAAAGAATCGTTAAAAATTGTTAATTACAAATTTTAACAATTTGTAATTAAAACTTGTTAACAATGTGTGAACTACCACGAGAAGGGCCCCCATAATGACCTAAGTAACAATTAATAACCGAGACGATATGTCAAGCAATGTTAGCATTTAAAAATGTATCTAAATTAATTTCTATCCCGATGGTGTTTATGTTTTTCGATTATTTCGGGGATATCGTTTTTAAAATCTGTTGAAATTGAAAAACAATTGAGTAATGAAATATGATTTGAACTAATTTTTTTTTTTTATGTCAACTTCAAACGTGGTATATTTACAGGACAGTAGATTAAATGTTTGCTGTGTTTGTCGATACAAACAGTATATATAATAAACGCAACGAACGAACGCGGTTTTAAAAAAATAAAACAAAATAGGAATTAGGAAAATATAGGAATATACTTTGATATTCAATACAACGATTTTGTTTTATGTGTGTTGATAAATAATTACACAGGACAATAACCTTCCACCACCCTTGTACACAATTGCTACACAATCAGTTGCCCCTATAATTGTTTTTATGGCATTGCTTAATTTAACTGAATAGTTATTCGACTAATTTATATCATTAAACTTTTTTTTGTGTTTTAGTCACTAATAAAGTAATAAAAAATAAAGACATCCTATAAACATTATACTATATAGGAATAATAATAAATTGTGACGATAGACGATATTAAGGATGTCTGGAGGATGTTGACATACGATGAAGTCGGCATTGTATAATATTAACTATAGAAGTTTTTTTCCCGTGAAACCGATGGATACCGGAAAAAAAAAAAAATTGAATTTTCAAATTGTCCACGTGAGTCCCACTTCAGGAGTCGAGTTTCCTATTTTGCCCGTTCTCTAAACACTCCTGGCACTAATAATAACGAACCATACAATTTTCAGCAAACTCAATCAAATAATTTTCGAGTCTATGGACCACAGCATTCAAAATACAAATGTATGAAAACTATCGAACAATATTGCCTATGCATTTATGCACGCTAACAATGATTTCTCTCACCAACATAATATGACTGCTGTCATCGTGTCAAACATGATAAAAATCACGACGAAAAAATAAAAAAAAAAAAATAAAAAAATAAGCACGGTATTACTATGCATAAGTAAGTATATGCGTCTAGAGATATTGCAAACAAAACACAATCAACTATAACGAATATTATTTCATAAATTCGACCACTGATGAACAACCCAGAAATCACTCCATCTACTATGTAGCACATATGGTCTCTATAATATCTGACCTCTTATAGCAAAGCCATATTACGACTGAAGTATTGTAGACGGGATGTGAGAATTAAGGAAACGTAAGCCGTAATATAGTAATAGGTCTATGATTTCACTAGCACTAGGGCAAATCTTCATAAAATCCCAAAAACGTGTTAATAATTATTTAATAAAATGATTAAGTAAATACAAAATTATTAAAACGGTCAATGCTCGTAAATAAATAAAGTAAATATGTAAATAAAAAAATGTATAAATAAATGAATGACTGTGTCGCCTGGAGTATTGTGATGAGTGTTCGAATTAAAAATTCATCAGCTGGTACATCACAGTCAAAATGTAAAACGCGACTGACCATAAAAAATTAAATGAAGAAATATATAGAAAAAAAAAAAAAAAAAAAAAAAAAAAATATAGAAAAATTGGTTGTTTTGTTTTACATAGAATATAGAAATAATCTATTTTAATAGGAGAGATTATTTAAAACTAATCATTATTAGACATAGATACGTTTTTTCGAAACTCAAATACAAGTATAACAACGAACCAGAAAATCGAATTGTACATTACAAGTTGTTATTAACAAAAAATTGCACGAAAAATTGCCGGTTTTCTTCGTCGTTATTATTATTAATAGCCGCGATCCGTCCGTCCGTCCGTACCGTTTTATTGAATTACCGTGGTCCACGGCAACCAAACATAAAACCGTTGTAACACGTCATGTGTGAGTATGACGCGGGTATACAACTAAATTATTATGAAAACTAAAAGGCGAACTCTCCAGCGAACCAACTTGATTAAAAACGCTACCGAAGGCGTTACTATGAAATCGTTGATTGTGGGTAACAAGATTTCGGGTATACGAGTTGTTTAATTTATAATAATTTTAATCGATAGTTACTCTCGGTTATATTTAATTTATGGCACGTCAGTTCAAACTAGATGACGAACAATTTGTTCTTCCGTGTTATTTTCAAAACGGTTTTCAATGTTCGATAATTTAAGAAAAAAAAAAAAAAATGAAAAAAATGAAAAAAATATGACTTAACGTCGTAGTTTTCGCGTTTCAATAATGCGTCACACACTCACATAGCGTCCATCTCCGCGTTTTATGATAATAGATACGCTGTATTGTAATAAAACAAATAATTATACCTATTCGAAAATACGGAAACAGAAAAAAAATGTCACGCATCGAGTATTGTACCAGTCTAAATTTTATTTTTTCAGCATTGCCAACGTTTAGATGACGTAGGTAGGTGTATCTATGCACACACGTGTATTTCAGTTTGTCTAAAACAAAAACTAACCATCGCTACACGCGTATGCGTATTCTACGCAATGTAACGAGGATCTATTCACGCAGTGCTGAATAATATTACACGGTTAAAACCGACGCATGGGTATGCGAGAGAAGTCACGTCGTGTGTATATTACAACAACAACATAGGTAATAATGGTCGGACTTCATAATAGATAACGTTAACATTAGCCAGCCAATGTTGTTAGCCACGCGCCTTCGGTAATAATATGTTAATAATTGCACAGGTAATGTAATATATTTTATGTAAAACATATTTTTAACGCTGGGACGTCAATTCGGTTTTACAATTGGAATGCAAACATTTGAACCGGGCCAAATTTTTTTGAACATTTCCCGCTCTCTAATATCCGTATTCCCACTTTACATTTTAATACTCAAAATAAGTACAAAATTTGTTGACGCGACAACAACATTGATTAAAAAAAAAAACTACGGCCATAGTTTATTTTTTCACGGAATACTTAAACTCATTCAACACCACGATTCGGTCCACGTGACGTCAATCTTCATTAATCTTCCAGCGAACGCGCTGTTTTGGATTTACATACTTTTACATACGTACTTCTTAAGTACGACACGCGTCGAGTACCTATTAATTTATTACAGATTGTATACATTTTATTGTTTTAGATTCCGAGCGTAGCCACGTAGCTATTGGTTTTAATAAGATGTTTTTATTTCTTCTAGTCTGTGGACACGTTTTTTTTTTTTTTTTTGTAAACTTGCTCCGATTTTTACGTCTAGCAACTTTTCTGAAAGCTCAAGTTGTCTATATGGTACTTTAAACAAGTCATTTTTTAATTAAAAACACTTAAGTGGTGAAAAACTCTCCCATTCCCAGTAACAGCTCTTTTTTGAAATTTAATTATAATAGTTAATATTTTTAATATTTTAATTGATACTTTTATTTTCGTGAGACGTGTTGTATTTTTAATAAGTACTTATAATATCTTATCTCATCTTATCATCTATATTGAGTATCTATCGAAACTGATGAGCCATCATATAAAAAATATTTAATTGATAATCTACGCGATTATAAGCAAAAATAAATATGCAATATTCATTATTTTATTTATCGAATTATTATTGCAGTTCATTTGAGACATCAATGATTTAGTTTTGCCAGGTAACAGCTCCTTCATTATTCAAATAATCACAATATTCATTTAGTATTTATTGTGCATCCATATTAGAATCTCTGTGGTTAGCTGCTAATTCACTATTATTTTGACACCATGGTCCATAGAAAACTTGGTGATCTTCATCTTCGTAATCAATTAGAGTTCCCAACACATACCAGGAGGGTTTGTTTTTTCAGCCAATTGTGAATTGCATAGCATGTGAGGACAACTTTGTTCAACGTTTTTAATTCTAATGAAATTAGTTTTTCGAACTAATCTAAATTTCCTCGCAAGTATGCCAAAAGCGATGATTCCTAAAGAAATGTAGGTTAAGAATGTATTTTGTATATACAAATGGTAATTTGTTCACAAAATAAAAAAATAATACATGTTTACAAAATGTATTTAAAATTATAACACATTCACTCCAGGGGCATATCCAGGATAAGATAAGGGGACGGAGGAGGAGGTTACAAATCCATGATTAATTTTTAATGAAAAATAAAAAAATATTCTTGTTTTTCTCATTGTTAAGAAAACTACAAGGAAAATTAAAATTTCTCTTTCTAATAAATTTAGCTGTCTCAAATAGGTGTAGAGATGCAAACTGCTCATTCAGCCCCCTTCCCTTTAGTTTTGCATACAATAATTATAAAATAATATATTGTACATTAACAGTACACTAAAACATAGTAGAAATACTAAAAACATTAGTTTTTAATATAACTTTATTATGTACTGATGTATTGTACATTAATATTTAGTAATTCGTGACATTATAAAACACAATGAGCAGTATACAACACATACAATTAAAACAATAGTTATGATTTATAATATACAAATAGGTAATGTAATTTTATATTGTTCAATCAGACATCATTGTACCAATATTGGTAAGAATTCAAAAGACTAGTTTTCATTTATGTCTATAGAGTATTTTTACCCCCAATAGAACGTGCAGGACTGGAAGCTGGTCCTTGTAGTACTTTTCTCGAGAGTCTCATTATTCCAGACACTGGATCACGACCAAAATACTTAATTTGAATCTCGTGTCCTTCTTCTAGACCAAGAGCACTCGGATGGTTTATCTAATTAGAACATAATGAAAAGTAACTGGTGAATATTTATCTTGTACATAAAATTTAAAATTTGTGCGTTTGTCTACTATATATATAAATAGGTATACAGTTTAATAATTTATTGATGAAACTTTGCATAGGTAACATTTAAAATAAATGATTGAAATTTAAGATTTTCAAAAAAAAAAAGTGTACCTTTCTTTGGTCTAATTGAGAATTATGAATCAAAGCCGGTTGCATTGTTGGATACAAAGTGACCATTACACCAATTTCTCGTATTTCAACTATTTTAGCTTTGTAAATAGCTCCAAATTCAAGTTGAGGTTCAGATTTTTCAGATATAAGTTTATCAATAATTTCTTTGGCTTCATTTAGTGCTTCTTGATTAGGAGCAAATATAGTAAATGCATCATTTTCAGTATCTGTAGAAATCTTGACAAAAATTTATATTTATTTAATTCAAATATGTACAATGAAAAAATGATTATAATTACTTGTGCACCAGTTTCTAACATAATACGTTTTAAATTTATTCCACCGGGGCCTACAAGTTTACCCTTTTTATGTATTGGTACATTCAATATTTCTGTTAATGGCCAATTTTCTTTTTTAGGTTTCCTAAAATTAAAATTTTAATAATATAGTTAATTAGTTTTAACAACAAAACACTACATACCTTGTACTTTGAAGTGTTGAATTCATAATATTAATAATTTTATGTTTTGCACTTGTAGCAGCTTGTATTGCTTCCATAATAATTTTCAATGGTAAACCAGGAATTTTAATATCTGCTTGTAATGCCGTAATACCCTTTTTCGTACCAGCTAACTTGAAATCCATATCACCCATATAATCTTCTATTCCCTGAAACAGTAATCATTTTTAATATTTATCTATTTGCGTGATGTTATTTAAACACACATAAAATTATCTCAATATACAAACAATTCTGTTATTTCTAGATAAAAATTAAAAACAAATATTTTAATGTCTTACTAGTATGTCAGTTAAAATCCTATAGTCTTTAATATGTTTGGAATCATCACTATCATAATTTGCTATTAAACCAATAGCAACTCCAGCAGCAGGTTGAGTGATAGGTACACCGGCATCCATTAAAGCTAAACTGCCACCGCATATTGATGCCATAGACGATGATCCTATAAACCTAATATTTTTAGTAAATATATTCAATCAAAAGATAAATAATTTAAAATAATTAAATTATACCATTTGATTCAAGAACCTCGGCAGTTAGTCTAATTGTGAATGGAAAATTTTCAGGGACAACTGATCTCAATCCTCGCTCAGCTAAAGCTCCGTGTCCAACTTCACGCCTCATAAATGGACTCATTCGACCAATATCATTTGTTGCATATGGTGGAAATTCATAATGTAGAAAAAAATTCTTTTCATTAATACCACTAAAAAATACACGAAAAAATGTAATTAGTTTTTTACAGAGTCAATTGATCTATTTAAAATGAATAAATAAAAATAAAATATTTAAACTATAAATTATGTTTGACCTTGTTAATATTGACATTGGATCGAGTTTAAGTGCTGAGTCTAAAGAGTCTAAGGCAACAGTACAAAAAACTTGTGTTTGTCCCCTTTGAAACAACGCTGAACCATGTAGAGGTTTGTACAAATCAACTTCACATGATATTTTTCGAAGTTCATCCAATTGTCGACCATCACATCTTCAAATAAATACATTTAAAGATATTAATGAATACTATAAAAATTTCATAAAGATTATTTACCTAAGATCATTTTCGAAAATCAAATTTCGAAACACTCTTTTACTAATTTTATCGAAAATTACAGAACACATTTCAAAATTTAAATTTTCAAAATTTGATTTTAGATTTTCAATGGCTTCGGTTTTAACATTCTTGACCGCAACATCTCTAGATGTTTTATCATGGTTTGCATTAGTAAAAATTTCACGCAATTTAATCTCAGATAAACTCTCGATAACTGTTTCTAAATTGCCATTTGTATCATCTACATTCTTAATCTCAAATTCTCTTTTTGGTTTCCCAAATTCTGTTTGTAATTTTTGAATACCATTTACTATATATTGACATTCTTTAACACCAAATTTAATTGCCTTCAAAAAATCTTGTTGAAGAATATTATTTGCTGATCCTTCCAACATTACAACTAGATTTTGGGCAGCTGATACAACAACAAGATTTAATTCACTATTAGCTAATTCACGACGGGTTGGATTTGTAACAAAGTTTTTATCACATAAACCTATACGAACAGCCCCAACAGGGCCATTCCAAGGAATATCAGATAAAGCTAGAGCTGTCGAAGCAGCATTTATGCTAAGTATATCGGGATGGTTAACTCCATCGACCGCTAATAAATTACACATGACCTAAAAATACAACTAACATTAATATATATTATAGGGCTCGTAATATTAAATAAGTATGTAGATTAAAAATATGTTACCTGTGTATCAAAACAATAGGTAGAAGGAAATAGAGGCCTTAACGAACGGTCAATTAATCTGCTGGTAAGTATTTCATGTTCAGATACAGAAAGTTCTCGCCGTAAATAATTTGTAGGTATACGACCTGCTGCAGCAGCTTTTTGACGGTAATCGACAGTTAAAGGTAAAAAATTTGATGAGGATTTTGTGGACTTGCTTACTATTGTTGCCATAACAGAGGTGTCCCCGAGTGTTGCAACTGCACAACCATCAGATAGTCGTGCATATTTACCTCCTGAAAGATTTATTGAACTCCTGAAACAACATTGGTAATGTTTACTTGAATACTTAACTATGGATTGTAATATAATTTCAAACTTAGTTACCTTTCAGAAAAATCCACTTTATACTCGAATAACTTGACTGTACCCACGGAGAACCATCGTTTAATATAGTACCGACTGTGCCGTTGAGAACAGCCAAACCACCGAGAAGATCCTCGGGATATCATTACAATGGACTGCTGTTCATAATAAAATTAAAATAGTTTATATATTAAATTAGTTAAATACGAATAACAAAAGAAAAATTAAATTAAATTTGTTGTTTCAAAATAAAAAATAATTAAAAAATACATAATTAGTAAAATTTTTTATTTGTTAATAACTTTAATAGATTATGATAACAGTAGGTAATGGATTAATGCACTTCTAACATGTGCTTTGAAATAGTCCAATTGCCGGCACAGTAGTTACAACACCACAGCTACTTTCGTACCTACCATATTTTGGGCGCATTCACTTAGCTATATCACGGTTATAATCATAAACTTATGATAACAGTCTGAAAGCGTAATTTATTTGAATACCTCTTTAATCTGATGTATAACCACAAATATATACCTATACCATTGATTTTATAATATACTATTATATATTAGTATATTATAAAATCAATGCTAATACTAATAAATTAGTATATATCTGTGTGTATAACATACTTATTATATTATATGATGTATAATACCCACAGCTATAGATAATATATAACCGTGATAATGCCTATACCTATTCTATGCTTCTATTATCAAAGATTGTATGTCGCACATGTTGTTTTTAATTTTTTTATTCTTTATAATAAATCTATTCTTTCCAATGAGTAATGACCACGAACTACGATGTACTTATATCTTAACCCGTGGTAATGAGAAATGAAATTTAATAATTTAATATAAATTTTAATTTAATCCGTGGCTTTAATCATGCTTTTGACTTTATCATTAGAATATTGATAACAGAATGTAAATAGTCCTAGTTACGAATGGCGGACAGGCTTCCATAATATTACCGATTCTGCTCTGCGCTATCTTTGTATTTATTTTGTGGTTTTATCGCAAACCTTTTTACAAGTTTTATTTTGTACCTAAATTCTATATAATTTGTATGACCTACTCTAGTATTCCCTTCCTTTGATGATAAGACAAACTTAAAACTGTAACAATCTTCAGTACGGACTTGGAATATCCTCACGAACTAATTTATAGTCTTTTCTGTTCTTCAACTTTCAACCACTAAAGTTTTGACTTTTTGTTATGTTCTTCAAATCCTAACGGTTTTACTGCCCGTGCCAATCGCCGTTATCGTACCTTTTACTATTGTACCTCGTCCGCCTATTCCGCATTTATGAAGACATTTCATTTTCCAACAATGTCAATATCTGTGTGGTCAATGCTGAACCGATTAGGTTCCGAGTGAGTTTTTTTAATCGCGTCCATGTCTTACGCTAATTTTAACGCATACTGTCTTATTTTACATGTACTCGACCTATCAAATCAGTAAAGCAACATCATACAGTCGTTTGTCTACCGGTACCGGACACTTTCGCATAACTGTTTGGGATCCAGCACTGATTATAGCTCAAATAGTGTCAGTCCAATGTCTTTACTATTTTGCAATGTGCGTCTGGGTCACTATTATGAGTTACATCGTGGGCACTTCCAGATCGTTGGACGTTATTTTCCAATTTAAAGTAATGACGTCATAAAACAAACACCAGAGTTTTATATATTATAGGTAATCATTCAACACCTGTTGTAGGAATTAAGTACTTTGACCAATGAAAAATTTGTGATTGCCATATTCGCTTTAAATGCACTCAGTGGGTAATTAAACAAAATATAATATAATATCTATGTTTACCATTAGCTGTATATAATACAAAACTTTGTCTTTTAAGTGCTACTTTCATTTGGCAAATTGTCGAACGATACCGTTTGTGTTTGGATTTTTCATGTACAATACACATCATACACTTGGTAGCTTGTGTGTGGTATAACGGATCATTGCCCACTACATTTTGGTGGCTGCTAAATGCTGTCTGTGCAGCAATCACATGTATCTGCGCAGAATTCCTGTGTATGAGAACAGAGTTAAATGCCATACCAGTAAATAGTGGACAAATGCCAAAAGTTGATTTGTAAAAATATACCTATATTTTTTTACTATATATATAAAAAATTTTGTATCATGTACTTATATGTATATACTGGTCAAATGAATAACTAAAATGTTCTGTTAATACCATTAAAATGCTAATAATTATGAATATGTTTAATATTTATGATCTGTTAATAATTTAATAAAAACATATTTATAAATATTATTTTTATTTGTGTATTTGAAACACTAACATACCGTTAACCGAAAATCTGAGATAACTATATATACTAAAAGAAACTTTCACAAAACAAAGTTTATTTGAACTGATGAGTTTTACAAATTATCAAAAATATATTATCATTTACTTGGGCAAATGATTATAATAGATTCATAAGTAAATATTAATTTATTATAAACATTCACTCATATTAATATTACTTATGGATTGAAACTTACTGGACCCAGTGGCACCTCTTTAGTCACAATAAGATTAAGATAAAAATGTATGTTACACTTAAGATAGCTATCAATAGAGTTTTAGAGAGTTTTTAACAATAATTTTAAAAATAACATTTGTTGTGAAAAAAAATTATAATCATGTTGCTTATTGAGTAATTTAAGTTTTATAAACTACAGGCTTTATTTAAAAATAGATTAACATTAATTCAGTTCAAAAACTTAATTACTAATAGGTACATATTATTAAGGTACTTAATTATTAATTAGAATATATTTTTTCTGTAGATTCATCTACAATATTACAGCCAAAATAATTATTTTTTTTTATAGCATTTGACAGTACATATTTCCATTCACGATTCATATTCATTGTAACCGGATTCGCAATGATGATAAGTAATGCTTTTGCTCTGGACAATGCAACATTTATACGTGATTTACTATTAAGAAAGCCAATATTAAATTGCATATCCTTTTTCAGTCCAATAACACTTTTGCTTCTGACCATGGATAAAATGATAATGGTTCTCTCTTGGCCTTGGAACATTTCCACTGTACCTACTTTGGGTAGTTGAATATCTGGATGGTACATTTTTAGTAGCTCATGGATTTTATTAACCTAAATAAATAAAAAAAGAAATATCAGTAATATGTTTTTAATATTTTTCCCCTGACTGACTTACTTGAGAAGAATATGGAGTGATAATACCAATTTCATCAGTTGATATCCCTGTCTTTATTAATCGTGTAACATACAATAAAACTTGGAAGGCTTCGTGAGGGTTAAACCAAGATGGACTACTGGGCTCCTGTAAATTTTCCCCAATAATACCGTGAACGATAATTGGTCCTTTACATCCAATATCCCAATATGAGTTTTCATTTAAATCATTTAATAATTTTCTTTCTGGCAAATTTGGTTCAACTTTCTACGGGTAAAATTCAAAATGCGAAAGTTACAAAAATATCACAACCTTCTGATATTCTTTTACTTTACTACTTACTGTTGCCACTAATAACTTATTATAAAACAAATTACTAAAATTATTAACAATTTCTGGTAGAGATCTATAATTTTGAATCAAGTGTGTAATAACTTTAGGATTGAAACCATTGAATTCTTCAAAAGCTGTAGGATCTCTCAGATATAATGGATAATTAACTAAACGAGCCAACATGGATTGCCCTAGACCAGCTTCATTTACTAATTTTGACAACACAACCGGACCTAATTGCTTGGGATCTCCAGCTAATACAACTTGTCCATTTTGGCGAGGATCCAAAAATGCTAAAATTTAAAAACCAATAAAAAATATTTAAAATTGTAAATTATAATAGATAATAGATACTTACACAGAGGTAATAATAATTCTGGTTCTGACGATTGTCCAGCTTCATCAATAAATATATGAGAAAAGGTTCCTTTCTTAATGCCCATCATATAGAGCAGACTAGCTGTACCTTCAGTGGTAACTACTATTTTTAAATTAAGAATATCTCTTTTCCTAATCAATTTTGAACCTGTAAAATGTGTTTACCAGGTTAATATTTTAATAATGTCCTTATAAAACTGTCATTACACACACCAATACTATTATCTTGAACTAAAATCTGGTTCAAGCAAAGAGACCTAGGTGTCTTCCTGACCAATAGTATAAATTTACACGCTAATATTCAATCTATAAATTTCAAAAAATTAGGATTCTAAAAATGCATTTCATCAAAGTTCAAGGTTCATAAATACTCTTTAGTTTGTTCTCTATTAAAGTATCAAGGGCTCTATTATAAATGAGAGCCTAAAGGTATAGTTTCTTAGAGACAATAATAGCTGGTGTTTATATTGCTACAAAAGAAAATAATTGCAACCACCAATGTATTATAAAACTCATTTTACTGTATGTTATAATTTTATTATTTATGATAAAAATATTCTCAATATCTATCTCACAACCATGGCACCTACAACAGTTTTCACTAAATCACAATCATGCTTTCTCTATAAAGTTTTTGTAGTAATCTCCTGAATAACACCACATCTTCTCTATTTTTTAAATATACTGTAAACTGGTTTTCTAAAGGAAGCTTGAAAATAAAAAAATTCTAATTATCCTTGCTCAAGTCCTAAGTGTAATACAGTAATCTTATTCTTATTATAATTTATGATAAAATCAGCCATAATATACTGAAAAATATAAAAATAATACTGTATCTAGGAAACTGTATCATTATACTGCATTTAGCTCTTCAATTCTAGAGCATGTACAAATGCATTTACAGATAACATCCTCAATAATAACTACCTACTGCATTCCTATGCCACTGTAATACATGAATTAGGCTTTTTTATCCTCACAAATATTGAGTTTATTCTAATTTAAAGTTTCTTCAGAAACTTATTAATGGTATATATGGTGTACCTATGCACTATGCCTACCCAAAGGTGGGCATTAAATAGTTCTAAAAATTTCATTAAATAAACTTAACTTTTTTGATTTAATTAACTTGCCTACATTTGTTGTTCTTTTACATATATTGATGGCATTTCCAACTATAGTCATAATCAACTAGTGGAACAAAAAATAAGTCTACTATACGAGATCTAAACACGAGCTTAATTCATGACCACCCTTACTGCATTGATTTGTTATTCATCAAGTTATTAAGTGTGTAAATTCTAAATTTTTCATAATTGTTTTATTTTAAAATTTTACTCCTGTTTTAATAACCCTTAATAAATTAATTCAATTAAATTTCAAAAATGTATGTATACTATGAATTATTTAATTAATAATGTCTTATTACCTTGTTCTTGAGCAACATGAGTTACATTCTCAAGTTCGGGTAAAAAATAATATTCGTCATAATCCATATTGTAAGACGAACTCATATAATAATTATATCCCATTAAACGTTTCATGATATTGGAGTTAAACAATCCTGAATCTATTAATTTATTCAGCAATATATCAACAGCAGAATTTGTAGGAGCACAAATCAATAGTCTAAGAAAAGTTACAAAATAACCAATTTAATTGTCAAACGATTTAGATTAGTATAAAGGGGCCTGTAGACAATCAATAATTATATTCATTGAAAATGTAAGAGGTAATAGATGGGAATTTTCGTTAAAATACATACATTTCTATGAAATTCATGTCATGAATACTATGGAAATGATCACAGAGTAACAAACAACTGACAAAAGTATACTTCTCCTCCTTGCATATTTTCTCTCATTTTGTCTCTTATCAAAGCTACACCTAATCTACCTTTTAGGTACGCATACCATACTATTTTCTCTTGTCATCTAAGCATCTCTAGTACATTCATTTTATTTTTACCTTCCAACACTCCAAATCATACAATATAACCAGTCTCACCACACTTCTGTAAAACTTAACTTTAAGTCTCATTAGAATTATCTTGTAACATAATACACCTGACACTTCTCTGTACTTTATCCAACAAAAAACAATCCTATGTTTCACATGTTCATAAAATACCACCATTTTTATTTTTATTTTTTTTTTTGTACAAAAAAATTAAAATTCTCAGTCTGGCCTAAACTGATTTTTGTCGTTAGCTATCTTGTTTCTTCAAACTCATACTTTGTTTTACTTCTATTAATCCTTAGTCCCTTCCCTTTAAGTGCTACTCTCTATTCCCTCTCAAGCTTATTATTTACTCATTCCAGATGTTCTACTATCAATTTTATATTATCTGTAAAACATGTACCATGATATCTCCTCTCACCTGTTGTCCCCGTGTACATCTAAGATGGAACAATCTGCCAAAGTTTTGTTTAGAACTACTAATACTATTTGATAGAATTTTACATTGTCTGTTGGTCTCATTCTCTCGACAGATAGAGGTACCATGGGAGTATTTTGATCCCTCCCACAGGAAAAACTGACAAAATTATTAATCAATTTAAACAGTTAATAATATTAATTGTCTATGGAACCCTTTAAATGCTTATGACTGCCACAAATTAAAATGAAAACTATATTAAAATAATTCTCACTTGCTTCTAGGAATTTCTTTAAAAACTTGAATAATGCTTTCTGTCAATGTAATTGTTTTTCCAGTTCCAGGTGGTCCATAAATAATGTATGGCATTGGTCTTGCTTCTCCTTTCAGAATATTAATGACCGCACTTTTTTGTTCAAAGTTTAACATATTATTTACCCATTTGATTTGCTTTATAGTTTTTGTTGGTGTTATCAGAGTAACTTTATCTGTGTTCAAATTGTCTGTATTTGAAATAGTTTCATTTATCTCATTATCTTCCACTATTTTTAATTTCGGTGGTTTATATTCAAATTCATTTTTGTAAGGAAACAAAAATGATTCACCCAGATAAGAATTTTTCCACACTTCATTAAGAATTTCATGCATTCTACGTTGAACCATTCTAGAAGTGAAAAAATTTACACAATAATCCCAATGGCCACATTTATTGTGAAATTCTGGATCAAACTTCAACCATAATTCATCAGCCATAACTTTATGTATAATACCTTCATATCGGGTTTTTTCACCTAGTTAAAATCAAAACACCTAATAAAACTGATAATTTATAGTGATTTTATAAAATTATATACTGTTATACTGTTTAGCAGAAATGGTCAATATCAAAGATAGAGGTAATTGTTAGTATCAATTTTGATATTTTATTATGTTAAAATGACAAGTTTATTTTTGTACAAAACTATTGAAAGTCAAATATTAGTATCACTCATCTCTACTATTTAGTAATATGTATTTATTACATTCTAATTATGTTATTATAAATTAGTTAATAATTTGTGTTAGTAAGACAACTTAGAATTTTGTTTAGGTTTACCTAATCTTTTGGTACAATTTAATACGTCCGTTACTGCAGCTCGGTCACCAGGAACTAATGATGGGCGTTGCTCAGAGAGATCAGGAATTTTTAAAACCAAATATTCACCATGTGGTTCAAAATGTATTCTGTCTTGTGCATATTTTTGAAGAGCTAGAGTATTCTAGAATTAATGATAAGTGTCGTTAATTCAATATAAAGCCAATGATCATAACATTTGATTTGACAGTTAATTATGTAAATCTAGATAAACTAAATAATTACTCTAACAATATCTATAAGCTGTTTATAAATTGTTAATACTTTATAAATAAAATATCAAAATGTTTTAACTAATCATTAGCTGAGATCAAATTTAGTATGCAAGGTGTCTTACTGTTATATCTAATTTAATATTCAATTTTTTTTCAGAGGGACACATGTATAGAAAAACATTTTTTTTCACCTATTTACTAAACAATATTACTTTTTATTTGTACACTTATCAAAATGTTTAAAAAGAACCATTTGGTAAAAGATATTATTCTAAGACAATTGTAATTGTACCATAAGTACATTCATATAGGATCAATAGTTTTAATTTCTTACACAATAAATGCTATATAATATGTACAGAATGAAATAAAATCCCATTTATTATAAATATTGTTAAATAAATATCAGTTGAAAGTTTTTATTAAAATTGTTAAGTAAAGTGGTAGTTAAAGATATACATATATGAGAGGTTTAGTTTCAAAGTGTACAATCTTCTTTGACAAATATAATTCTGTTTATTATTAATATTATTGTGATAATATTCTCAGAAATCCTCGATAATGTTATAAAAATAGAAATAATATTACATTATAAACCATTTGGAGGATGAAAATTGACTTGATAATCTTAATTATTTTTCAAATATTTTTTTATTTTTAATGATTTTAAATATAATCTTTTCTATAATTAAAATAACTATAAGCAATAATTATTAAAGTTGTTAATAATTTTTTGTAAACTTTTAAATTAGATGAAAAGAAAATACATACATCTAATAGCTTTGCAGTTGTTTTCAAAGTGAGCAATCTCCAATTATTAATCTATTACTGTACCATCTCCAAACAAAATCTTATTCTTTTAAACAAAAAACTGGCCATCTTTGCATAACTATATGAGTAGGTTTAAAAAATCGGTATGAAGAAAAAACCTTATTTGATTAAATTATTCGTTTGTTGTTTTCTAAAAATGTATTGAATATAGACAATGCACACTTTGAAACTAGACCTCTCATATATATTATGTATCAAAGACAAATAAATAATGACAGGAAAAAATAATAATTAATCATTTAATATAACAATTATTTTATAATTATTTATTATCAAATAAAATAATAATATTATATTATTTATTATTTTATAATTACCTCTATTTCTTCTATGAATAAAAGAGTGTGAAATTTTGCTTTGTAATTTTGGTAAGTAAGAACATTAAAAGCAGCCGGATAAATTGCACTAATCTTTTCTTTGACTTCAGAGTTTACAATTCTGAATAAAAGAAAATATGCAAAATAATTTATATTGTAACATGACTAAAATCTGAAACACTCAAAAAAAAATATTAATGTTTGCATTCGTGAAAATAAAAATATCCTTCAGAATTTGTTGAAATAAATAAAATTGTTGATAATGTTAAATCTTATTAAAATTTTCATATCTATTATATACAAATTGTCTAGATTGTTTTAGTCCACACTCCCACACAAAATAACATTGTAATGGACAATGCACAGATTCATAAATAATGTTTTATATATTCAGTTACAATATTCTGTTTAATCATTTTATCATAATTTATTTATGGGTATTCTAACAAATAATACATTTTATAATAACAGAAGAAAAAAATATTTTGGATTAAACAAACTGAATAAACACTTTAAAAATATTATAGTTAATATTTTGATACTTCTTAATTTTAAGTCAAAATAAAAATTTAAAAATGAATAAAATAAATAAGTAATTTAATTATGTTAATTTATGTAAAGTGAAAAAATTTATAAATAATATAATAAAATCTTTTATTACTTAAATTGGTTATCTCCTTTCGAATAACATTTTGTTAATTGTGCTGGAATGCTCCATTGTCCTATCTTCATATATGGAAATTGTATTCTTTTCCCAATAAATACACCAGGAATTAAATTCTCATTCTGCAGTTCGAATAATTTCCTTTAATAGTTATAGCACAATTTACCGACTAAATACATTTATAAAATTATTCAATGATTAACACTTACTGCACATCAATTTCTTTTTTAACATAACCTCGATTTTGCGGTACATTTATTCTTGAATCAATTACTTCAATGTTTACACCTACTTTATAAGTTACATCGTGGAACATAAATTCAACCTTTTCAACAGATTTACCTAAATAGCTACATAGAAATAAATAAAACTATAGAATCTATTAGTAAAATAAAATATTGTGATAATATTAATTTATTATGTATCATTTAGTTAACAATATTCAGTTTTACATCATATAAAGATAAAAATACAATGTGTTTTCAACAATACTCACTTCCCGGTAATAGTAATGTCAAAAGTACATTGTGACAGCACTCCAATTGTTAAAGGTAATTTTTGTTTTTCAGTGATTGACAATAGCACTTTATTTCCTTGCATGGTGCGATAATCGAGTAAATTTTGCTCCTTGATATAGCTGTTATTTCTGAATAATATCTAGAATTTTATAGTAATATAAACATTCACTAACTTTAAACTAATATTTGCAAATTTTATACTCTTAATTTTAGATTCAGAGTAGAGTTAAGGATTTATATTGGTTTTACTATGTTTTTTTTCTGTCTGTAAACAACTTTTCGAAAAGAAAACTTGCTCAGATGTGTAAAGTATAGAACATTATGTGAAAAGAAATTTTATCTAATTGGTGCATTAGAGAGGCCATATTTTAATTTACCAAAGGGTTTTCAAAATAATTGGTAAAACCAGAAAACAAAATTACAGGTGAAATGGCAAATATTTACGACACACCGCGGCATTATCAATGTATTCATTTGGATTTATTCTTTTGTTTGGTTAGTCATATTAAGTATTAACAATACATTAATTTATGAATATTTTCATAATAAATTAAACTAATTATTTACATTATTTTAGAATGTCTAGTATTTAAAGGAACCAGTTATTTGTGATCCACTATTGTTATTTTTAATTACTAGACATGTTAAATTTGTATACACTATTGTTAATTCTAGTCTACACATTAACTCATGTTTATAAGATAGCACCCACACAATGGAGCCAACAAGAGTCAACATTCAATTTCTAATGTTATAGCTTACACTTTAAACCATAGATTATTATTAATAGATGTCATAAATATGAATAAAATTCACTTAATAATGTGCTAACGATTTATCCATCTACATACAATAATAATAACCTGCATTAAAAATCCGACAAGTGACGAATAAGTTTTGAAGATTTATTGTCGATTCACAAATTGGTTGGCGCCAATATGGACTCAGGGTAAAAATTGTAATTTGTTTCTCCGTGAATAACAAATAATAGAAAATAAAAAAAATACTTGTATTGTTGATTTCTGCTCAAAACCAATAACTTTAGGCATTTCACCCAACACTTGAACACTCATAACATCATTTTCGTCATTATTGCTGACTCCATCAATTTGTTTAATCTGGGCATTACTCGTATCATCGTCACTGAGCCGTAACTGAACAATTTCAGGTGGTTCAATTCTACAAGAATTAATAAATTTATAACAATAGAAACTTTACTGATATTATACATGGAATTACTGTGCTGTTATTTGCTGGAATTCCTCTTTAGATAAAAAGCAACTAGCAACAAGCCATTCGTCATTTGAATTCTTTTTTCTGTAGAGAGACATTCTAACAGGGGAATTTAACTCGAAAAGAGCAAAGTTGCGAAATTCTTTATCTGTTTTTGGTTTATAATAATACTGGTTATTTATTAAACATATGTCCGTATCCAACATTTTAGTAACAACACCGTTTAGATATTTAATCTCCAATGTAGGGTCCAAGATGCATGAAATCTAAATAAATTGATTATAACTAAATTAATGACCAATTAATTGTGCTAAGTATCTAATTGTCAAATTTTACCCAAAAGTCATTGTCCGACGTTACGTTTTTTTCAAAAATAATATTTAGAGGGAGTTCTGGTATGTCCGGATTCCCAGAAATCCAATCGACAATACTATTGACGAAACGCAACATATCTTCAAATCTCAATAGAATTAATAACTACAATAAATATGTACTTAAAAATAATTATTTTGTTTTGCATATAAAGTCGAGATTATTTGAACAAAGAAACAAAAACAAGCTGAACCTACAAGTTACGAAATTGTTGATGTCTGCGAAGATAGCTCCTCTACTGAAATTAAAATTCAACGAATCAAAGAAATTACTTGGACTGTCATTTTCGTTAAAATACTATTTCAGAGTATCACATCATGAAATATTCTTCATAAAAAACCGAAAATTCATATTGAATCTTTATAAGTAAACTAATAAAGTTGCAAAATAATAATTTGTCAGTAGAAAATGTGCGATAATTTTGTTTATGGAAGTTTATCATGATTCGTTTATACCACGATGTAGAGACGATCTTCCATAGTTTGATAGTCGTGAACTTGTAAACGAAATTAACCTCCAAATTGAATTTCTAGAACCAAGGTTTATTGATAATACTAGATAGTAAAATGTATAAACCTCGATCTAGAACAACATCTACATTACTCTTTTAATTTCTGTGGCATAGACAATTCAAATTACGTATTCATGTAATATTCATATTCATCCATGACACTATTTCTTATCAAAAAGCGCACGTTATTGGCAACATGATAGAAATTATCTTCTATTATGTCTATCTTGATTTCAGTTTAGACTGTCGTTTATAATATTGTATCATGTTTTATAAAATTATTGACGTTATTTCACAACAATATATTTTTGTAGTAATCATTTAATCTTTAGTAATTTATTTTAAACCCTGATATTTTAATATCTTTTATATTACTTTTCTATATAAAATAGTAATAAATGGGTATTTAAAATGTCCTTAAATTTGAATGTCCCTCTCTGTTGTACTAGATCTGCAAATACTTTTTACATTGTTTTTCATAAAAAAATGTATGTACTTGGTTCACGTATTAATAGATTAACGAAAGTAGCTAATGACGTCCGTGTAGATTTAATTTCTTTCTTTTAAATATTTTAATTACTTATTACTTATTTTTTTTTTCTTACATATTATTTTTGTTACCTAAATTATTATTATTGAGATATTATTTTGTAATTTTGATTGTTTTGCAATTATTATTATTATTATATATATATATATATGCTTTTTACTGTAAGTCATTTAAATCCACAAATGTAATAACTATACAAATTTTTATTAGGTTCACCCAGTTTGAATTAATACATCAACAATGAATTGATTCAAGATTTGAAAGAAGATTTGTTATGTAGTTGATATTAAAGGTAAAAGTTCGACAAATAAGAAAGGATTCTAGGATGTTAAAGTTAATTGCAAAAAAAAAAAAAAGAAGACATAATAACACATAAGGTTATAACTTGTTATAATTAATGTTTAATTAATCATCGTTATTATTCCGAGCGTCGTTGCGACCGCCCACGCCTCGGATAATCTTCCGCAAATTATACGGCCTTATAACAGAAATGAGTGTTTGTATTTGTGAAATGTGTTCAATGAACACTGTTCATATTTGTACTATCCAAAATGCCAGGAAATTTCCAACCACATTTTAAATTCGGAGCGTAGCTCTAAATCTAACCGGGAAAATTTGAAAAATGAAAGCTGATAAATTTACGGCTTCACGATTCCTTTATTTTAAATGTTTTCGGCTCATGTTTTCTACAAACAATATTGCTTCAAAAAAAAAAAAATTCAAGAGATCGTTTTTTTTTGTTATCTAGAATTTTTTATCTAGATGGTGACCAAGATAGTTGTTTTTTGATTTTTGAGCTAAACTGAAAACATAACGTGTAAAGATCCGAAAAATGTATGAAAATTATGGTTCAATTATTTTCAATTTTGTTTTGTGTTTGTAATTCAGTTCAAAAATATTCGTAAAATTGAAATGTGTACAGAAAACTGATATTAGCCTTTTCTAGTTGCTGTACAAATTTCAAAACATTTGATCCATTTTTGAGCTATTTATAAACATTTTAATGTTAAACTAAACAAAAATACTTATTTTAACAGGTTTATTAAAAATCGTACTAAACTGACATACAAAAAAATAAAAAAAATGTAGTGTAATGTATGTACTGGTACGTGAAGCATAGGTCTATAAATTAATAGGTAATAATCTAAATTCAGTTGTGATACTTTTATGTCTTAAATTTTTACAATACTATAATTTATAAATTTGCTTTTGACAAGTGGAATTATCTTATATGCTAACTATCTATTAATTTAATTATTAAAAATACCTAACCAAAATACTTCAAAAATATCTATTTGGTGACAACTTTTAATCTTATTTATCTATTTTATCTCATCTTCTTATTTTTAATCTTATCACTTGGTAGTACCAAATTAGTAAAATTAAGTAGGTATCTAAAGAGTAGTTAGAAAACCCTTAGTTTTTGATGACTCAAGTACTTTTAAGTCTTTGACCGAATTTATAAATGTATCTGTTTTTCAAGCCCCAACATGTCGTGAAGCATGAAACAGACAATTAGCAAAATGTTTCTGCAATAAAATTTAAGTCTTAAATATAATAGGTACGGTACAATGATTTCTAAAATTATTAATAAGATGGTAATAAAAACTACATAGGTATAACGTGATTGAGTCGATAATTTTTAAAACTACCCTGAATAACAGAACTTTCTGTTAAAAAAAAAAATATGTTTTCTTTATTATAACTAAATTGAGTATTATTTCCCTTGTTTAACACTAAGGGGAATCAGGTTAATTAAAACCATAATAATGAGTCACAATTTTATATAAGTTGAATTAATTATTGTAGGCATATTTTAAAATGTTAGAAAAATAAAGAATTATCAATATTACTATCATAGTAAAACTAAAACATTTTCTGCTTCACTCAGAATCTAAAATTTGAAAAAAAAAATTTAATAGCATTTTCATGTAAAATTTAATAGCAATAATTTTAACTATAGTATGCCATGTTAATATGATATAAATTTATTAATTTTATACACAACAAACATTTAATGGAAGCACAGTAATGGTATAGGTATTAAAATAATAGTATAAATCTTAATTAAGTATCAATATTAATTTATGCTCTATTTTCATTTTCTAATTGGATAAAAATCAGTTTACGATAGTATAAGCATGTGATATCCTTTAAGTGAACAGATTAGAACTAATTTTCAATTTATAAAAATGAGAATTTAATTGAGTAATAATGTATCATTTGTGAAATTTGTTTAAAATTTTGATTACATATAAACCAAACAAAATTCTTCAAATTTATTATATGAGCAAATAAATATAATTTATTAAGTATTAACACACCGGTTTTAAAATAATATTAATAAACTATAAAAATAATATAATATTGTAGTAATAATAGCACTAATAATAACACAAATAATACAGTTAACAATTATAACATATTAATACAATAATTTATATAAATAATTATATTCAATAACAGTTATAACATAAAATTTAATAAAAACATACATTCCAATTAAAAATTTCAATAAACTATAATATTATAAAAAAATAAAATTATTATAAATCTTTATGACTAGAATAATATTATGTCCAAAATATATAGTTTAAAATGGACATTGTTTTAGGCCGGATGTATCAACCTTAAAATTAATTACTGTGGTAACCTAATAATATATATTACAATATAATAAATTCAATATTGAAAGTATTTTAGTATAGATATAAAATAAAATACATTTTAAAAATTATTTTGATTAGATATTTGAAAAACTATGTATGTATATATATATATATATATAGAGGGCCAATGTAAAGAAGAAAAATAAAAAAAAGGTCTAAATAATGTATTTACTGGTGTTCAATAGATTAATAAAATAGAAATGGAAAATAGCCTTAATTATGTTTGGCTGAAAAAGGAACAAAAAACAAATTATGAAAATAATTACCACTATGACCATGTTTGAGTAATTTATGACTGATCAAAACTTTCTTGAGGTGAATTATTAAATTCATCAACCTCCTGTATAACAGATTCATCTTCTTGGCGTTGTCGACTGATCAACATCTCTTGTTTGAGTTGTGGAGTAAGTTTAACAATTCTGTTTTGAACTTTCGGAGACAGTTGACAAGTTTGCTGTTCTAGATCATCAAAACTAGCTCGCCTGTACATTTTATGATGATGGTGATGAAAATGATGAGTAGAAGATGGAGGTGATGGAGAATGCGAATAGCCATGGTGATGGATGGACAAACTCGGCGATGTTAATGATCCTCTTCTAAGAGGTGAAGGTCCACCTTCCCATTCATTTCCTTCCATTGATTTCACCAAACTATGTCTGCACAATAAGAACACAATTTTTAGTATTATTTAAAGTTACACAAAATAATTAAATAAAATTAACATCCAGACCTTCTAGAGAGTGTAACCAAGCTTTGTCTGTGCTTGGATAAACGACGTGATTTACCTAGTCGCATTTGAATAGCGGCAAAATGATTTTGAATAGCTAACCCTAACTCAGGACATTCTTCATCATTCACCTATTTACAATAAATTGATAATTATTATGATTTAACCAATACACCAGTATTATACAATACATACTATTACAGGCGAGTTCTTTAACATTGTATACCCGTCACAGCCATTATGTAAATAGCATTTTGTAGCCAACTTGTATGATTGATCAGGAATTAGATACTCGTCACCTATTCTCACGAGATCAGGTTCAATTCTTTTACCAGGTTCTGCTTCAGGATAAAATCCAAAACTAATTCCAGACACTTGGGGGAATCGTCCTTCCTTGTTAGGATATTTGCAAACAGCATTTTCCAACGCGCCTAAAATCTGTTTTCCTATCAAAAACATCACTTCAATATTATTTTAAAATAAGGATTAATTAAAACATACATTTTGAATCATAAATAAAAAGAGCCAAACATGAATCATGGGTAGGTCACTGTTGTAAGTAGATTGTTGGGAAGATAGGATATATAGGGTAGTTTAGTTTATACACTGTATGCAGCAATAATAAATCATAAAAAATGAAAACGATTATAAGCGAAGTAGTATTAGTCATTTTTTTCCGCTTTTACCCATAGTGACCCAGAAGTCAACAAAATTCAAAAAACCAACAAAAAGGAAGTGCTTAGAGGGTGAAATGAAACGTTAAAATTTAAGTAACCTAAGGCTACCAATTTTTTATTTTTTGAGGAATGAAATAAAATATTTAAGAACATTTTTCAAACCAAAAATAAACTTAAAGAAAAAAATACATTTTGTAAGTCAGAATCCAAAAACTAATAGACAATTATAAGAAATAAAATAAAATGCACAATATTTTATATTTAAATATTACTTATACATTATTCATAAATAAATAATAATCACGAGAAGCAACATTTTGTCATACATAAATAGATAAAATAGGGGACATTTTTATTTACCTGTGACTGATATGACGATTGTAGGATCTTGCATTGGTACAACATTAACAAGGTCCCCTAAAGTAAAATCCCCTGGATTATGAATACGATCTGAACGAAATGTACCGGAATTCAAAATCACTAAATCTGCTCCTGTAGCTGCCAATAAAACATCACAAACCCAATTTCCAAGATTGGTCTCTGAAGTTCTGATTTGACTGAAACGGCCATCCAGTTCAACTGTAAATGTACCTAGTACTTCGTTCATTTTTCCTTCCATTGTACCTTTAAAAAAATATACATATTACACAATTATAAATATAATAATAAATAATTCCAAAAATATATAGAATTTTGGTAATTCAATTCATATTTAGTGTACTCTATTAATGCTTGTTTTTTATGTCTTTCATAAAATGCATAACACAAATAATTGCAAATTGATTAAACATTTTTGATAGTTTACATAAAAAAAAAATTGTTTGTAAAGAATCATTAATTGTTAATATGTATCATAAATAATAATTAGTGTAATATAGTTTTAAAAATGTTTTTTTGTTTTGTTGTCAACTTTTGAAAAAAAAAAGCTATGAGTTATCTCATTAGAATTTAACTCTGAAATCACAAACAATCAAAGTACACAAGTGTAATTTTCTCGTGGAACAGGAACAAAACTAATTTGGATGCATTACAAACCTAAGTATGAATCCAAAATTTCTTTCATAATGATATCTTCTTCAATATCTGAGGTAATTTCTATCTTTTTTACTTCGACTGGATTATTAGGCTCATTGAGGTTTACAGTTACTTTAGAAAATTCTCTAAAGTCAGTTCCACTTTTGATAATATGTCTGCCATTAATTTCACGTACGTCATAATTGTGATCATGTCCACCAAGAATTAAATCAATTTCATCTACATTTTCTGCCAGTTTAATATCATTTGGCATGCGCATATGAGTCAGTGCTATTACATAATCACATCCGTCTTCTCTGAGTTGTTTTCCTAAAGACCGACCCGCTTGTACAAAGTCAATGAATGTTACTTCTTCAGGATCAATAGTTGCTAAAGTGTCTAACCATTCTCGTTCTACCAACCCAACTAGTCCTATTCGCTTGTTATGCCAATCTAAAACATGTGTGATTTTACCATCTCCCAAAGGTCTACCGGTCTCGTTATCAACAACATTGGACATTAGCCATGGAAATTTTGTTTCAGAAACACGTTCTGATAATACTTCTAGACCAAAGTCTAAAAAAAAAAAAATTAACAAAATATATTACAACTCAGATATTTTATGCCATTATAAAAATCATTAATTTTCAATAACTTACCAAATTCGTGATTTCCATAAACAGCACATTGTGTACCAAGTTCATTTAAAACCTTGGACATTTGTTCACCTTTAGTAAATGTACTCACTGAAAATATTAGTTTATAATTATTCACCATTCAAATTTTAAATTTAAAGTTAAATATTTGTTCTTACATATACTAGGAGAAAATACATCTCCACTAAATAATATAATAGGTTGTTGATGAGCAAACGATTTGATCATTGTTGAAAATCTAGAAGCACCTCCACACGGTTCTTGGTCTCTTGGTTCAACATTGTAGACGTCATTAAAATGAAGTATTATCAGTGGTGGAGTTGAACCAGACATATGATCAGTCATTGTACTTAGAGTTCGTAAGCTAGCGTGTTGTACTTCTAATGATGCCTATACATAATGCACAAAAATAGAAAAAATACATTTTAGAAAACTTAAAAGTCAAACTTTTTAATTCATAATTAGTACAAAATAATTGCATTATACATTTTTTTTCCTCAAAAAGAAATCACAGGTTCGCGATATTATTTAAAATATAATATATTCTGAAATATAATAATTAGGTTATTCTTATGACAAATAATAATGAACCAAAATAATCATTCTATATGATTATTGTACAAATAATATTAAACTTAAACCACACTCTTTTTAATAAAATATAGATAAGAAAAAAATTTAATTGAAACACACAAGTACCTACTTATAAATGTAAAAAAGATAAAAATAAATAAATGAAAACAAAAAAATTATGTAAGATAACGATTTTGATAGTTATAAAAATAGAAAATAAAGGGTACTTGTTCAATAAAAAACTTAAATATTGGAATAATAAAAGTAAATTAAAAACCATTAATAAGAAAATGGATAAATATTTTTGATTTTATATTCTTATGAAATAAATAAATAGAAGGCAAGTAAATTTATATAATTTCCTTTTATATATACAAAAAAATAAATATACTACCTGTCGGACCCTACATGTCTGATGGTATAAAACATATTTAATACTTATTGTTATATTAAATGTTTGTAAAGTTTTTTAAAGTTATTACATAGGTATTTCTATACAATTTAACTTATAAATAATTAATAAGAAATTAAATTAAAGGAGCTGCACGAACTTCATACCTATTCATTCAAATTTCTTATAATTTTTTTTAATCTTCATTGTTGTATTTAGTTAAAATTACATATTCAAACGGTATATTCAATACATGACATGAATAATAATTGCAATATCACCTAATATATAATATAGATTAGAGGTATCTACTATTTAAAAAATGTAATAATTTGATAAACATTAGAGAGCATATTAAGTACATATAATAAAGAAGACCTTTATATATTTTTGTATTTTGTATTTTTCATAAAACTAAACACTTTTCAGTTATATTCATAATACTATTTAAACTGAAGTAAGTAAATGTATTTAGCATACCTGTTTAAGCCAACCAACTACATTTCGGACCCCTGTTGACATTTGGCCTGTGCCAGAAAGTTCAACAGCAGAAGAATCCACAAACTCGTCCCATTTTGATCTTAGACTAGATTTGGTAGTAGCCATGCTGTTAAAATAAGTGGACTCCTTTGGTTAGGCTTAACTACAAAATTATGGTGTTAGGTAATAATTTACATGGTCTAAAAATGAATATTATAATATTAGTAAAGGAAAATGTATAAATAATGAAGTATGTCAATACATATTTGTTAGTAAGTTATTTAAAATACCCACCACAATTAATGAAATAATCTAAAATACTGCTGATATTTACCTAAATAATTTTTTTTGTAATAATTGAGAAATTTAATGGTATAAGTAGAGGTTTATAAAATATTACACCTTTGTTTAATGGCATTGTGCTATAACAAGAATATTACACAAGATAAAATTAGGTCAAAAAAATTATTGATCAAAAAGGTTATATAAAAACATGTTTTATTTAGTGAAATGTAAAGGTATTAGTTAATTATATAAAAGTGGCCAATTTATGTATTAAAGCGACTAGTTATTTTGAATATGTCTAATAAATTTATTATTTAAATTGTTAGATACAGAAAACTGAATTAAAATATCAAGGGCAAATTAGGTATATGTATTACTTTAACAAATTTAAAATACACAATAAAATTTAGATTGTAAACCCTGAGGATAAATATAGGTATAATTCTATTAAAATTGTCAATGTCAAGTTAGCATAGGTTTGTTCTAAAATTAGTTCACGCGATTAATCGAGAAAAGGTCTTGGTGTTTTTGATGAAAACAGTGGGATATTAATATAATTGTTTAGCAGTGAATTCAAATTTTTTTTACGGAAAAAAAAAATTAAACCCATCAAACTACCTGTTCACGATTATTGTAAGAACTTATATAGAGATCTAATAAACACCTGCCTTATTGCGACGACCAAAGGATTTCGACAGAAGACGCCGATCATCTCACGAGGCCACTGTCGCATCACTGTTTATTACCTATCACTCGATAGATGTGCGATCGTTTTGGACTGACGGATGTCATATGCGAACGAGACGACGTGCCGTTAATGCTCGTAGGTACGAAATCCACAAAGGAAAGAATGGAAGTCCAAACGTACACAAAAATATTGTTACCTCGTCGCATTGACATACCCGAGCGCGCTCTCTTGATATCCTGGCCAAAGTCTCCGGGCATGTAGGTCAGGGTGTTGCTGTTTACAAAGTTTTCGGAGCGTATTGATTTTTTCCGTTCGGGATAACGGGCAAAAGGCGGCGAGTAAATTACTGAATGAAATTGCGCGCGCGCGAATAGGTATACCACAACCACCCTCGAATCAAAATCTAAGTATAGGTGCCCAATAAATATTATTAACTAAAACGACTTTATAAACAAATAATAAATTTAAATAAAATTGTTTACCTGTTTTGCCGATTAGACACTAAAGAAGACAATAAACGACTCGACTCGGAGACGCAAACAGATGGATGCAACGAGTGATATTCAGTTGCCACGAACAATTCGACTGCAACTCGCGAACAGTCGCTGCTGTCTGTGCACTGTTCTAGTTTTTTTTTTTCTTCCTATCTCGGAAACGAAAACCGTGATAAAAATATGTTTACATTCTGTTATCGTCGTCATCGAGAACGGTCGTGCATGTTTCGACAGGACGTTCCCAAAGGCCACAGGGATATCATACGGTCCACCTCATTCCGATCTCCTTGGTGAATATTGCGATCGTGTACCGTTGTGACAATAATATTATTTTTTCATACGTTACCGCTATTTTTCAAACAGCCTGCACCATGACGCGCCGCCTTTTAACTTTTACGACGCACTCTAACGTCCACCGCCATAACTATACCCTGTTTCAAAAGAGAACATACCGCATTCACGACCAGTTTTCGTTCGGCGGCGCGCATCCCCACCGGGTAGCACTGGCCATGATTATATATACATGTTAAGGAATAATTGTTCTCTTTTGAATCAGGGTATATGTATTTTGTAAACAAATTGTTCGTTGGTTGTCAATGCCGATGTTAAAATATGTACCCACTAACCGAAAGATGAATAATCTGTTAAAAAGCCTAGCAATTAAATCCAACAGACTTTACTCCTCCCCTTTCTATTCAAAAAATTCAACTTAATTGTATTTATTCAATTATCAGTAATTTTTAATTCGGGTTTAGATTTCAGTACCCTTATATGTAGTCGTATAGGTATCTACCCTGCAATCTATGATAAGTACCTATACCAACGAATACAAAATATGATAAGGTATGCCAAAAAAAAAAAAAAAAAAAAAAAAAAAAAAAACTAATAGAAAAACAATTATTTCTTTAAATATAGATTTTTAATAATTTCAAAAAAAAAATCTTACCTACATACAGAAATTATTTTTTAAAATAATTTTGATTACAATTAGATGATTAAAATTTTACAAATTTATTCAAAAAGAAGAATAAAACGAGCAACAGTCCAATAGTACAAATGAGAAAACTTAAAGAAAAAAAATCTGCATTTAACGGAAGTTTACATACAGTTTTGCATATTATGCGATATGCATATTGCATAAAGAAATAGCCCTCGAAATAGGAAAGTATTTCAAATAATTTGTGCTGTGTGTTGGTACCTATATGACTATATAAAACAGAGAGGTTAAGTGGTTATTGTTTAAGCTGGAATGTTAAAAGGGATACTATAATTAATAAATCAGAAGCATCAATTTTACTACTGACTAATTTATAAACGAAAGAAATATCCGTTAGATAACATATCTGAGTGTAAAAGTCAGAATATCTAGAAAGGACTTTTATACTACATTTATACGCAAGTATAAATACATAATCATGGTTATTAATAGTTATATTGAATTTAAAGGCTATAGAGTAGCTGATCTCAACCTTTCTATATCCGCGTACTATTTACAAATCTTAAGATTGTTCACATACTTTTTGACACGGTGATGAAGCTTTTTTTTTTTACTTATTAACAAAGTTCATCGCGTACTACAGGCTGAAAATTGCTGCTATATATAGCATAATGCTGAATAAAGAAATTATTCTTTTTTTTTGTCTGTGAACAACTTACAGATAATAACGATAAATCTTTGCTGCAATCAGCCACTTCAGGGGTAGTTCTGGTAGCAATTTAACAAAATATGTTGTCTAGTTCAACGTTTCTCAGCCATAGGCATAACTAGTCATTTAAGTTAGGGGGGCTGGAGTTTTAAAAATGTTCTATAGCAAAATAAGGTACATACCTATCAAAACACAATCACCCCCACACGGTTATAAGTTTTAATTTATATGAATTAGATATCTAAAAAAATGATAAGTAAAATTTAGATTGATTAATAATTAATAATGCATACAAACTCTTTATTTTAACTGAATTCCATACAAATATAAAATGTAGGTATATTATACCTAATATAATAATTAATAATATTCAACATAAAAAAACGTATGTATACAGTATACGATAAACTTCTTTATTTTGATATTTTTAAACATAAATCGTAACTGTTTATTTTCGTATAATAACAGTACTTAAGCATAAAATATACTCAATAGTCAATAAGTATATGAAATATAATAAAATAATTATGAAAATTACAAATCTATACGTTTATTCTTCAAAGCAAACTTATTTAAAATATTTTCGGACTCGATAATATTTGAAATGTCTCATTCAATGTGTAATATGGACATATCTGTAAATCTATCCTGGTTTATAAAATGCATTAATTTTCCTGTTATTTTGAGCCGATATAAATTCTAGAGAAGCTTTAAGATATTATGGGGGAGGGGAGCTGAAACTCACCCAAGTCTCCGCCCCTAGTTAATCCTATGGTCCATAGGATTCGGCATATAGGTACATCCTATTTTTCCACCTGTTACATGGAATATACACGAAACTACTATTCAAAATTTAAAAATAATCAATAACCAAACAAAGGGATTTAACTGTTGATTTTCCAAACCTGTGATTTATAATCACTCTTCGATTTGGATCTTATAAACAAAATTCCCCTTGAAATAGATTCTGACGTAACAAAATTACCACAATATGATTTATGCAATTTGCAATCTAAATAAAAGTTTATGAAAAAAAAATGCAGGAAAATTTATTTGTATTGTGTTCTCCAAACAATAAAAATAATATTGAGAATTTTATAAACGCTGTAGTTAATAGTATACATTTTATATTGTATTACTGTAATCTAAATAGGGATATCCTAACTACACGTACTTTGCGCCAGCACCGCCCATCAGGAAAATTTCATTTTTTATGTTATCAATAATTAGCACGTAATGAGCATGAATTTGCGTGACCGATTTCGCAATTCGTATGACATCAGTGTCTCCGGAATCGCAAAAATCAACGGGTGGCGCTGAAGAAACATTACGTCAGCACCACTCAATTACACAAATGGAATTTTTTGTATTTTTGCATAACCATCATTTAGCATGCAATCAGCATGGATTTGCGCGACTTTCGTCGTAATTCGCACGATCGTTATTGCTGTGGTATATCGTCCCAAAGAATTTACGTGTTTCGCTAGCACTGCCCTAAATTAAAATTTTACGAATTCCTAAAATTAAACTACGCCATCATTTAGCACGCAGTTAGCATGAATTTGCACGACTATCGCCGAAATTCACACGATTCAACTATAAACCCACTTTTTATCCTAGATTTGGTACCGATTTCAATAAAAATTATGAAATTATTAACATTATGGTCAAGGGTAATGGTACCAATTTTCGAGATGAAATATCGAGTTCAGCAGCAGTAGAGTCTAGTTTTAAAAAACTAAAACCTGTTACTTTTAAACACGTATCTTTACCTACTGAACTTGAACATTTTTTAGAAACCTATATAACATCCTTAAAAAGCGCAGCCCTAATCCATATATCGAGTAATAATAATGTATTCTAGTCGCCAACATTAGAAATAAACCAAGTCAATTATGATATTGAAAATTCGTCTTCGTCATTTAATTTTACAAAAGAAAATCAATGGGCTGATGAAACATTGAACATGAATGAAATTCATAATGAAAATGACTAAGATATTATACTAAAAATCTTACTTAAAATATTGAAGAACAAAAAAGCTCATTTGAAGGAATTCGTAAAATTTCGATTTGGGGCAGTGCTGGCGAAACGCGCAAATTCTTTGGGACGATATAGCACGGAAATAACGATCGTGCAAATTTCGGCCGATAATCATGCAAATTCATGCTAATTGCGTGTTAATTGATGTTTATGCAAAAATATAAAAAATTCCATTTGTGTGAATAGGTGGTGCTGGCGAAATGTTTCTCCAGCACCACCCTTTGATTTTTGCGATTCCGGAGACACTAATGTCATACGAATTGCGAAATCGGTCACGCAAATTCATGCTCATTACGTGCTAATTATTGATAACATAAAAAATGAAATTTTCCTAATGGGTGGTGCTGGCGCAAAATACGTCAAACTATGGCACACGGGCCACGTCTGGAACAAGTTTTAACAGACCCTCCTAAGGACGGTAAATAATCTAAAAATATATGAAATATTTACACTTTTGTAAAAGCATTTAGGCAAAAACTTATTTTATTTGAAAAAATTGTTTTACTCATTTTAGATTCCGAGTGTAGCGAAGGGGAGCTATTGGTTTTACAATGCTGTTTATTTTTTTTTCTTTCTTCTTCTTTGTTCTAGTCTGTTGACACGTTTTTTTCTCGTAAACGTGCTCCGATGTAGCACTTTTTCTGAAAGCTTTATTTTATAAAAACACGGACGACGTTTTTCACCAGAAAAAATGATTTAATCGAAAAATCACAAACACCTTTTTTGTTGCCTTTTTGATTTGATTTTTTATAGTATCATCGCCAAAACTTTTGAGCGACTTTTAAGCTTTTAAGGAATTTTAATTTTTGGAAGTTTTTTTGCTTGTAATTCGGTTATAAATACACGTAGAGACTTGAAACTTGGTAATAATACCTAAATTGGACTTACCTAGATGTAGTAAAATTTCCAAAATGATCGGACGACCCTTTTTTAATAAGTATTTTGAAATCAAATTTAAACAAAAATCGCAAAAATAATTACGGTATTTCAAATTATGTACTACCGAACTGCGCTCGGAATCGTCTTTCGTCAGCATGGTTTCGTTGCTTATAGATATAAATAAAATAAGCTTATGTATCCTATCTTCCCAACTTCTCACTTATAACAGTTGCCGTTCTATCCCCAGTATCAAGCTCTTTTTTTTTACTTGCGATTAGTATAATAAAGAATCTAAAACAGAATTTTCAATCAAATTTGTTTAAAAAATAATTTCTGAACTTAAAATCCAGTTTAAACAAAGTTTTTCTGACTTTGACGTAAAATCTGAAAAAATAAATATTTTTCAAAATCAATTTAGTTGTGATATTGAGAATAAGTTGTCTTCTATACCCTTCAAATGGAAACGATTGATTTACAATATAATAATGCACTGAAAATCAAATATCGCGAAGAGACTTTAGTTAGTTTTTATAAATTTCTACCAGATACTCAATATGCAATTTTAAACAAATTTGCTATTGAATATATATCTGTATGTGCTACAACTTATATGCGCGAACAAATTTTTCCCAAAATAAAATGAAATGAAAATATAAATCGGCCATGTCTGAAAACATTTGGAGTATTTTTGAAAATTAGAACCAGTAAAACACAACCTCAATTCGGTGAATTATTAACAGAAAAACGCTAATTACATGCTTTACATTATATTTAAGTACATTGTATAAAATATTTATAAATGTATATATTTTTAAAAAATAAAAAAATTATATGTGTTATTTATACACTTTTGACCCACTAAGAGCATTTTATATTTTATGTGGCTCTTGAATAAAAAAGAAATCTGATCTAAATCAAACAGTTGCAAATTAAAACCACAGTTTGTCCTTCCATAAACAGTCTTGACGTTAGAGACTAGATAATCTAAACATAATATATTTTTAAAGGTTTTATAATAGTATGTGAATGTAACATGACAAAAAAAAAAATACATATGATCATAGTTTTTGATAGGTACGTACACCCCACTCAAATATTTCTTTACTTCACTCGCATCATAAGTCCCTCTTTCTTGTTAATATGAGTATTGCCGTAATAGAAAACTACGATATAGACTGGGTTTAAAAAAAATGCACACATTTTACTAGGACGTGGCACATTGCGATCATACCTATCTATTTTGTCATGGACTCATGGTATATACTTTATAATAATAAGCGTTTTATTATTAAGGATATTATTGTAGGTGTAAATTAGGTTTCGGCAAAAATAAAATACTAAGGTAATTAAACAATAATAATTTATAACTGTATTTTATTTAAATGTGATACATAGAGGTGGATTATGATGATATTTTGGCCTGGTGTAATCAAATATTAAACATTGGAAATGTTAGTTATATAAGTTATATAGATATAAGTTTAAATATTTGTTTATTTTATCCATAATCCATGTAACCATGCCAATTAATTCTAAAAATTATCATAATATCTCAAACAATTAGGTAGACTTTGATAGTTTTACGGCTAGAAATTTGAATATTAAATTCGGGTTGCACAAGTGGTTGGTTTTCGGATATTGGATTCCGGTTGATCATCGAGTGTGTCTGACGACCGCTGGGCGGAGACCCATCGTCCGTCCTATGAACACCAACATATTTCTTAAACCCTTGTAATCTAATACCCATTTTCAAATTTTGTAGCAAATTGCATTTCATATACATGTATTATTCAACTTAAAGGCGATGATTACACTGACCCTTGTGAATTCCTAGCAGGTACAATTTTTTAACTTTTGAAGAATAGGTACGTCGTGTTTTTTAACAACCAAAAATTAAAAAATAATAGCAACTCACGGACAATAACATTTATGGACAGTTGATAGTTAGATGACATTTGGACGGCAAATAGCGTTCGAAAAATGTCTACACTACAGGATTTTCTAAACTTGCGGTACATAATTTCGATTTTCAGCCTTAAAACCGTCAAAGTCCATCTTATTTTAATTGTATTTTACTACTCTTTCACACTCGAAATGAAATGTCCATAGTATACACTCGCAGGTTAATGTTATAATAATAAATTTAATACATTTCAAACGACTTAAAATTTGTACAAATATAATAATTTGCTAGTATTATACTCGACTATATCTATAGTCAAGCACAATTTCAGGTGTTATAAAATATTAATTACAAATCAACACATAATATTTTTAATGGTCATAATCTATATAATATATCATATCTTATCATGTACAAATTTTCACCCATCAGTTACAATAGCTATAAATATGACACTCGGCCATCTGGTACTACGGACGGAGAACCAGCATGGGAAAGACGTAATATCTAAGCGATTGGTATATTGGGATAATTATACTCGCATATAATATTTAAATCGAATACACAAACAACACACACATTTATATAAACGTGAGAAGTCATCATTATAATATCGTGTTTAGAAGTGTAACACTATTTGGTTTTCACGTCATATTGTGTCTTCACGAAATACGTAGTCAACGTGCCCTTTCCTTTAACGTACGTCGGGCCCCGACACTCGCAATCGTAACCAGCTGCCATTAGAATTTTGGCCGTGTCTTCTGTGACCTGCGGGACACACGCGTGGTGACAGAACGATAGTCGATAAGTATAACATTATATTCACGAAAGACTTATACTACGAATTTCCCGCAAAGGGATGGGACAGTGGTTTGCCCAGGGATTTTCAATGGGATGGGATGTAGTGAATAAGTATAATGAATAAATCGTAAAATCGTCTTCTCTACTCAATTTACTATGGGAATTGGTAATGTACAGATCCTAAAAAAAACCCAATTTCCAATCAATATATCAAGGTTTTCATCGTAACTTGGCTGAAATATATTCATTTCAAGGTTAAATTACTAAATAAATACTATATTTTTGTATTTTTTTTAAACTAATCTCTCCTCCCTCGGATATAACCCTCTCAATTCTCTTTCTTAAGTACATACGCCACTGGTTGGGGAATACGAGGAAAACAAAATAAATGAAATTTCTATGTCATACCTGAATTCGGCCCATGATACCACAACTGTCCATCCGAGATGCGACATTCACGGCATTACCCCATATGTCATACTGCGGCTTTTGGGCGCCGACCACGCCGGCGATCACAGGACCGTGGTTCAATCCAATTCGTAGTTTAAACCGTTGAAAAGACTCCCTATTTATCTGTTCCAGAATCGTCATTAGGGCGATAGCGAATTCTACTAGAATCACCACGTTATGTTCTTGTTGTTTGTTTGCTGTCTGTATATATAAGTACATTAATAAAAAAAAAATTGGTAATATTGGTAATGATTTTATTATATTTTATTACAATAAACATAAAATTACGGACATACTTCACACGATGGGTGGGCCATTATTGTAAGTGAGAAGATAGGAAAATAGAATATAATGGGGAATTTAATTTACATTTGTACGCAACGATAAAGTATTGCAAACGAAAAACGATTAGGAACATAAATAGCATTGTCAAACCAATACATTCCTCGCTAGCGCCAAATTTTGAATATAGGCAATTTTAAAAGAATCATTTAGTTAAAAATACTAGTATTAATTAATAGTTTAAAATAACATAATAATTATACTAACTATATGGTATCCTACAGTGTTATCCGAATGCTAGAAACTCTCTTAGTGTTATTTTTTTTTCAATCGGGTCTTGTATCAGCGGGATCGAAATGTAAAGAAAAACTAAAATTGTATTTTCATCTTTTAATCACTGAAAAAAAAAACTATATTTTTCACTTTTTAAAATTTTCAAAATAGTCATTTTGTAAAATATACTAATTAAAATAATTGATTGTATAATACATTCATAACCGATTAATAGTTTTTTAACTATAACGGTCTTAGTGTATAGAAAATAGGCGTAAAAACAATTAATATTCAATAGAATACAAGGAATTATCGTGATGATTGTTATTCCTCATAGTATAACATTATTAGCATTCGGATAACACTGTAGAACACTATGTATACTCAGAATGTCCCATGAAGGTGTACCCATTGTATAATATCTCTGAAAATAATAAAGATAATCAAATCGTATTTTTTTTTTATATTACTCAATGAGATAAGGACCACAAATATTTATATTGCAATTCATATTTTATGTTTTAGTAAACATTTATGAAAAATAACTTTATTTTATTATTTTAGAAAGTTCAGAAAAAACCTATAATTATGAAGCAGGCTGTAATCGTATTTTCTTATTGATATTTATTGCTATGATTAATTGACTGTACATCTTTTTTTTTTTTGAACTTTAAAAATTAATTAATAATCACGAATTTAATGAAAATAAAAAAGTTGATATATCAAAATTTTCAGAAAAATAAACTCTACAAAATGGAATGGCTATCTTCAAATTTTTCAAAAATAATAAAATAGAAAGTTATTTTTTATAAGTTTTTTATCAATCAAAGCACAAAAAAATTTATTGCAATACAAATATTTGTCGTTCTATCCCCGTGAGTAGTGAAAAAAAAAAAATTTGATATCTTTATTATCTCCGGAGATATTACAATGGATATATCTTCGTGGAACACCCTATATATATATATATATATAATTATACATTAAAAAAAGGAAAAATGTATATATTAAATACCTAGTTATAAATTATTGAGTAAATATATTAATTAATACATTCCATATAATACTATGATTATTGTGTATATAGAGAACCTCAGATAGGTTTATTATTTGTAAGTAATGGGGTGTAATGTAAACGCCATCAGTTGCAGGCCCAGCAAATTCATACGATAAATCCTCGTGAACATTGGTTCTGTATATTATGCATGTGTGTGTATTTTTACTTGTGAAAATACATTACATATTATAAATTCCTCACTTGTAATGTTTTAATTTAATAATAGTTATTACTACTAGATAATTTTTAAGTATAAAATTGGGTAGTTATCTGTTGAACAATGTATATTGGACTAATACTTTATAGTCATTTGATTTAAAGTATTAATAATAAGTAAATAATAATCAATACTAACTTTAGACGTGTGGTCTTCTTTACCGGGCCTAAGACCAGAAGCCAACATGTAAGTACTGCCAATAGTTTTTATTTTTTCTATAGAGCTAAATTTAGGTTTCAACAGAAGCTGAAAATAATACAAATATATTTTCAATATATTTCTTGTGTATTATGCTTCGGCCATAATAATAGTTAAAATTTAAAAAGCAACAATTTTTTTTTTATAAAGTGATGGTAATAATTTAGAAGAACAAAATTAATATTTCACTTAAAATATTGCAAGATTTGTTAAATTTATTCAATTTTATACATTACTTTATCAAAATCACAAATGATTTCATTTAATAACCGTAAACATTCAAGTCCTTGTTTATTTACATCGTTTTCATCGTAAAATTCTTTATAATTAGGAATTGATGCGAACATCACTGCTATACAACTATAGCGTTCATGGTACAAGTCCTGAATCAAATAATATGAATTATAATAAAATGAATAATTGATACATTTTCTTTTTATTATCTGACCTGTAGAACTTGTTCTTGAAGGAAGTGTTCAGCAACATGAGCAGGTAAAATATTTTCTAATAAAATTTTATTAATACCTCTCATGGTCTCTACTTCTTCTTGTTCGACTTTTAATTTAGCTCTCCATAAAAAATCTGTCCGAGCGGCTAATTCATTTTTTCTGTCCAACATGTGGAATACAGTGACTAAAAGAATAATCGGAGACCACATTTTTATCTCCCACGGAATTCCACTTGCAAAATAAAAAAAAATAAATATTATTAAAAGCCGTATAATACGAGTATATTGAATTAGTTATATGCTTAATGGCTAATGCTTATTATTACTTACCTAATAATATAGTCTGTGAAATGGTTTTGAAATAAAGGTAACGTTTGGTATATAGTTAAATGAAGTGTACCACAAACAACCATGATGAAAAGTTTCAACGTGATACCGATCCTCAAAAATGTCGAAATCATCGATAGTGTCAGGATAGTACTACATAAATACGCCTACAAGTAATACAAATTAAAAACAAAAATGTTCTTTTTTACAAAGATCAATCTTAATAGGTATAGAGGTAGATAACTTACTGAAATAATCGAGGAAGAAGACCAACTGGTTAAATCTTCTGTTAGATTTGTGATTTTCGAGGTATTTGAATAGAACTCTATCGTTTCATTCAATTTAATAATTTTGGCATATTTTAGGTCTGTATCTAACTAAAACGCCACAATGAAACTACGGTACTAAAAAAATTAAGTCGTCTTGAAAATACTAACCAAAGTAATTATTGCACACGTGCCCACCAATGTGGAACTCAATAGAAATATAGACATTCGAAGCCATCTGGATGAACCTACTGAAACATTGTCTTGTACACCACAGTCAGTTTCCGACATCCAACTGGCATACGCGAATACAAACAAGGCTACGAGTGATGCACCTTGAGCTCCCAACATAGTCAAAGACCTAACAGTTTCATATTAATATTATAAACTCCAAAGAAATGTTGAACTTCAGTTAACAACATAGTATACATTATAGGTTATTACAAAATACTTTTTAATACTTTATTAATTGAATAAAAACAAATTGGTTGAACTATTATATCAGGTAGATAATCCTATAAGCTA